GAGGCTTAATTTCAGTTTGTTCATATCAGATTCATCTCAAATTTGAGTTCTTAATTTCAAATGGAAATTAGAAATCAGTAAATACCGAGAGAAGAAATTATCCCTTTTAATATTGCTTCCTTCACTACTTATATTCTTAATTCTCTTCTTAGAATAAAGAGGATCAATCTGCATGATGTTTCCTTTATCTGTGATAATCCTTATATGTACTTTTTGCAATTTATTTTACCTTTGACTGATGTGACACTGACAAGAATTAAAAATACTATATTTTTACATAAAACATTATTTTCCAGCAACATACACAGTGGTGGGCAGCATTATGGATAGAATTGGCTGTGACTTGACTTGAGTTTTTGTTTGAAGATGATCTCATGCCTGCAAGTTAAACACAACAGAATTACCATCACTGCAAGCTGTCATGTCTGTAATCACAAAGCAGTGTTTTATTTGGTGCAAGAAGAGAAGTTATTTCTGAAAGCATTCTTTGACCACTGTGGCAGGAGATGTCTGTCTGCTTCTAAAGAGATGTGTGACACAGTTGTCCACCGAATAAAATTACACATGGAAAATTATAGCTTTTGGGATACACATCTGGTTACATAGACTCAGCATTTTGGAAAGGCAACAATGTGAAGTTTGCGGTATGTTTGAATGGCGAGATCTTGTCATCCGGGTCCGTGTGTGTTTGATTATTTGGGAAACTTAGGAGTTAATTTCCTGGCAAGCAGGATTGCAGAGTTCAGAGCATGACTGCCTGCTGCCCATGGCCATGGGAAACCTTTTGCAGCTGGCATTTGATGTTTGAAGGTTGTGTGGTCAAGTATGGAAGATTACTTCTTTTGGATGGAGGTTCATCATAATAATTCTCTACATTGCATAGCATGTTCTAGTTGTCATTAAAAATGTACTATCTGTAACTCCAAAAGCTGTGAACTCTCAGAATTGTATGGAACTGGCAAATGCATCTACTTTCTCTTTGGTGCTCCTTTTCAGTTGGGCTATATAAAAATCTTAAAAGGGAAGTCAACCTGGTAAGAACAGGCCAGTATGTATTTCACCTTTGAAACCTTAGAGGAGGATGCATCAGCTTTTAGGATGCTGCAGAGCTGACCTACACAGGTGGTACTCCCATCTGCATTATTTTAGGTTCAAATCTAGTGAGCGATACAAAATCAGGGTGTCGTACTAGTCATGAGTATGAAGTAAGTGGTGGTGCTTTGTTTCCAGCTATCTATGTAAAAGAACCCTGATTTTGATGGCACCCGAGAGAGATCTGTGGAAGGACAAAGCCCTAAGAATTTTTGGGAAAATTATTTATAAGATAAGCACAGAAGTTTTTGCACAAGACAGGTCCCTGGAAAAGCTGGCTTTGTAGATTCAGTCCGAATGTTATTTAGAAATAACAGCACAACACTGTGCAAGTGCCAAGCTAACTTTACTATCCTGACTGGGAAGAACAGGCATAAACAACTTCGAGGTAAAATACTAAAAAAGGGTAAAGCTCTTGTTCAAAATTAAGTGAAAATAACGTAAACGTTTCTGTTATTATGGACTGTTTAACAAAATAGTAGAACTCTGTGGCTTGTTGCTGTTGGTGTCCCCACTCAAAGAGGGGCAAACAAGTATTGGTCTTGTTCAAACAACAGTGCTCAAATTTTGTTCTTGTTGTCATCAGTAGGACTTTGGATAGTAACCATGATGCTTAAGCCATCATAATTTTTAGTACAGTCAATGACTTGGAATTGGATTTCAAGCAACTTCAGGCCTATGGGGGGAAGGAGAGTAGTGGAAGTTTGAATCACATTCTGATCCTGTATGTGGTCCTCCTTTACTCCCCAAGCCTTGAGTGACTGTGTATAACCTCCAGGATGGTAGGGAACTGTTGGGATCTGGACTTTTTATCCAAGGGCTAATTTGTTTTTACTTTGTATAATTACTTGCTTTCAGTAATGCATCTCATTTGAAGTAAATTATTTTGCTTCTTAAATAACTTTTTTGAAGAATAAACTTTGAATTCTTTGGTTGTTTCTTTTGTGCTAGTTATCTGCACACGGGATCCACCACTGGCTTACAGGAACCTTATAACAATGCTATCTGCTTTCTCTATGGGATCTAGATTTACTCAAATTGTCACTTCTGTAATGTGACATGAACAGCTGCATTGTATATGTTCACTATAGCAAGAATAAGCAGTGAGAGTGGCTTTGAGACATACCATAGGCTTGCTTTAGAGTCCAGTTTTAATTACTTCACCAATCTGTATCATGTCATGCATCTTGGCTTAGTGTTGAGTCTCTATATTTGCAGTGGGGTCCCTCATAATATTTTTGCTGACTTTGCTCTTGGAAAGGATGCTTGATAAGTAAAAAAAATGGGGGGGTGAATGGGAGATTTCTTTGCTTGGTATTCCAAGAGTGAAATCAGCTCTAAAGTTATTGCTGTGTCCAAATTGTGCTCTTTGCTAGGCTTTTAAGTAGCTTAATTCAGTCTTCTGAAATAAGGCAAATTGTGTTGGACCACACTAAGTGTGCTTTAAGCATGTTTCCCCTAAGACATTGTGTCAGGCTTCTGGAACCCAGAGTCCAATCTGTACAAGGAACTTAAGAATAGACTCCTAATCTACAGGCATATAAAACTCCTTGCACTGTGCAGCTGGAGTAGTCACTGCCTGTTCCAAAAGGAGAGAGTCAGAATACCAGTACAGATGCATGCTTAAAAGCAAAGTTTTTCTTGGCTTATTAGGAAAGCTTTCCTCCAATATGATTGTTATCTGTAACAATCTGTTCCTAGAAACTAGTTCACACCTTAAGGACTTAACTGACTTTTGCATACTGGAACACAGGTTGTTTTCAACAGCCCTAGAGGAGTCTGTGAAAAAAAAGGAATGACTAAGAGCAATGCAGGGAGAGAAGAACTTGCTGAGGCTCTTCTTAGTGCAAGGTGCTGTTGGTCAAAGGCACAGCACATGAAGGAGTGCCCTTCTAAGTTTCCCCATTGCCCCCTCTCTGTTAATTCATTTCTTTTTCAGGAATTGAAACCATTTTCTAGCAAAACTTGCCCCTAGGCTTCTATTTGAACAGCTACCCCTATGATACAGCTGCTCTGCTAAGCAAACTAGAGGAAGAGCCTGCTGAATACACTAAGCTGCCAAATTTCTAGCGTGTTTGGCCATTTTCCTTTGACTAGACTTAGGTGGAGTGAAGGCAGCTCAGAAATGTGTGGGGTTTTAGAGCCACTCTGAAGCCTCTGCATGTGAATCACTTACTGTCCAGCTAAAAAAGAGTGGGCAGATGGCTTGTTCATATTCAGTCCTTCAGTTTAAAGAGGCTGTAGATCTAACTTTAGCACGGCATACCCAAGCTTTACTCATATTTCTACCATGAACCCAGCTAAGTTGACCCTGTGATTTAAAAAGCTAGGGGATCAAGAGACCTCTTGACAAAGATGACCTCTGCACCCTAAAGGTTATTTTTGGTTTCAGATGTGAATCCCAAGATCTTGATATATCCAGAAAGGTTAGGGGCAGATAGCAAACAAGCAGGAGCCAGTTTTTATTGACCTTAAATGAAATAGTTCAACAGTAAAGTGGTATGGGGACTCTCAAACCGGGGAATTCATAAGAATGAGAATAATTCAGAAACGAAGACTGCTATCAGCATAAGAGAGGAGACCAGGTATTAGAGATCAAGACTGTAACAGCATTCCAGCTTTGCCCTGTTGGCTGCACTTCTGCATGTGGGGGTGGGATATCAGTTT